GTGTGTATGTGCATGTGTATCTGGAAGAAATCTGAAGTGTGTGTGTGTGTGTGTGTGTGTGTGTGTGTGTGTAAGAAAGTTAAGCAGCATGTGTGTGTGCGTATGGTGTATGCATGTACCCATGTATCTGAAAGAAAGCTAAGCAGAGAGCGAGTGTGTGTGTGTGTGTGTGTGTGTGTGTGGGTAAGGAAGTTAAGTAGTGTGTGTGTGTGTGTGTGCGCATATATTGTGTGCATGTACACATGTATCTGGAAGAAAGCTAAGCAGAGTGTGTGTGTCTGTGTATGTACCTGTGTGCTAAGAGGCATGTGCACATGCCTGTGTGTGCTGGGGAGGAGTGAGTGCATGTATACCTCTGCTGAGATGTATGCGCAGGTATTCCTGTGTTGACGTGTTTGCATGTGCATATGTGTGTACCTGTCTGCAAGGAGGCATGTGTACATGTGTATGGGGGTGGATGAGTGCATGCTTCTGCCCTGGTAAGTGCACACGTGTTTCTGTGTATGTACGTGCATGTGTTCACATGTTGGAGGGGGGTGTATGTGTACACCTATCAGCAAGAAGGTCTATGTGCTGGGGGATGAGTGTATGTACGCCTCTGCTGAGATGTATGCGCAGGTATTCCTGTGTTGACGTGTTTGCATGTGCATATGTGTGTACCTGTCTGCAAGGAGGCATGTGTACATGTGTATGGGGGTGGATGAGTGCATGCTTCTGCCCTGGTAAGTGCACACGTGTTTCTGTGTATGTACGTGCATGTGTTCACATGTTGGAGGGGGGTGTATGTGTACACCTATCAGCAAAAAGGTCTATGTGCTGGGGGATGAGTGTATGTACACCTCTGCTGAGATGTGTGCACAAGTGTTTCTGTGTTTATGCCTTCGTATGTGTGTGTAGCTGTCTGCAAGGAGGCGTGTGGATGTGTGTGCTGGAGGATTAGTGCACATACATCTCTGCCTTGATATGGGCAGGCGTGTTTCAGTGTGCACACATGCATGTGCTCACATGTGTGTGTGCGTGACCTTGTCTCAAATGCTTCCCTGTGCCCCCGCAACCCAGGCAGTATCTGCAGCCGGCAGCAGCAAATGGCTCTGCAGCCTCTGGATGCACCAGCACCCCCCACCCCCGCCAAGCTCCCTCCACCACCCTCCACACCAGCTCAGTGCAGCGCGGGGCCCTTCCCAGGCCTCCGTGTTCACCTGTCCATCAGCACAAGCCCACAAACAAATGAGATTCCTGCCCTGGAAGCTGCCTCCGGCCACATCCCCCCAACTCACCACGCCGGCCTCCGTGCAGCATGGAAGAGACATGGCCCAGGGGAAGTGATTTGCCTGCCAGGAGCAGCTGCCTTCACCGTGCTGGGGCTGGGGCTCAGCCACACCAGAAACACGTGTCCTGTGTTGCGGGGAAGGGGGTGGGGGGTGTCACCACATCCTAGCAGCAGGCAAACAGTGTGGGCGAGCAAGGACAGCCCGGGGAGCTGGGGTCACCACAGCCCCCCCACCCGACCAGCACCGGCACTGGCCACAAAGTCTGGCTCATAGGGGATGCTGCCATGCTGGGGGCAAAGACGGCTCCCGCAGGCAGCCAGCACATGACAGGCACTGAGCCCTGCAGACAGACTAATGCCAGGGCAGGGACAGACAGACAGACCCAGGCAGGCAGGTGTGCCAGGGTGTGAATACCCAGGTAGATACATGGGTGTGTGAGCGGATGCGTCAGATGGAGAGACAGATAGACAGCTGGATTTGGGGGGCCTGCCTGATGATGCAGCGCCACCCCAGCAAGCAGGGGGCACATGTGGGGGCATCCTCCTGCCTTCACACCCCCTGTCTGAGCCACCCCTGCCCCTTCAGTCCTGGGCCACGTGCCAGGCTGCAGCATCCAGATCTAGCCAAGCCCCCTTGCCCGCATGTGCCCCCCCCCACCCTGCTCTCGGGGGTGTTGAGGGGAGGAACAAGGCCATAAACGACCCAGCAGGGCATCTGGGAGCCGGCGCTAGCAGATGGTGAGGGATAATGTCAGTTAATGTATGCAGCGCGGATGCCTTCAGTGGCCAATGTGCAGCTGTGGCTGTCACCGCGCGCTGGAGAGCACAGACGCTGCCTGGGTCCAGAGCCGACCTGGCATCACCCCATGTCACTGGGAGCTGGCCGGGCACCGTGGGCAGGGGGAAGAGAGGCATGGCCTTCAGGGTGCATATATGGGAGCAAGGTGGCCCCCACTCCCCATCATTGCCTGGGGCCCTGATGGAGCTGGAGGGGGCTGGGGGATGTGGCAGGCCAGCCAGCTTCCTCTGCTCTGCTCTGCCTTCCCCCGGGGACACCCCTGGGTCCCTCCGGGGCCCCTCCAGCCCCTCGGCAGGAAATCATTCGTCCTTCCCTTCCTTCCCCCCAGCTCACAGGTGTTCGTGATCTCGTTCCAGCCATGCTGTTTCTCCTTGGATGCATATACAGCACCTGGTGCCGCAGGCCTGGGATCCCCCTCATCCTCCACCTGGCTTCTCAAAGCATGGCAGGGAGACGCTGCTGGCCTCAGATGTGGGCCTAGCTCTGCTGGGCTGATGTAGCAGCATGGCTGTGGCAGGTAAGGTCCCCCTGGTCCATCCCACAGCCCCTGACCCCTTCCCAGATGCAGCTGCTGGCACTGGGACTCCAATTAACCCTGGGTACGAGCTGTGGCTGGCATCAGCCCCAGGACACAGGAGCACCCAAGCCAAGGGATGTCTATTGAACCCCTGCACTGCCCAACGCGCCCTCTCCCACCCCGCACAGGGTGGAAGGGGAGACGTCCTTGCAGATCCAGCTGTGCAAGTGCAGGTGTGCACGATCCTGTGGCTTCACTAGCGTGTGCAGAAGTCCAGCAGCATTTGCTGTCATGTTGGTGCGGGGGGCTGGCTGGAAGCAGGGTTGGGATGGAAGAAGAGGGGGCAGCCAGCCCGGGAGAACCCCACCTGCTTCGTATCACCAGCCTTGGAGCTGCCCAGCGGGGAGGGCAGGGGTATGAGGTTATGGGGACAGGGTGGGAGGCAGCTGCCTGGGCAGCCTAGAGGGACGGTGCCCGGCCTCTCCCACTTGGCCTAGCCCAGTTGCCAGCCCCGGTGCTACGGGGATGCTCAGGGCTCCCTTCACAGCCCTCTTGAACGGGTCTGCTCTATCTGCTGAGAGAGAGAGTGCATGCAGCTGGCTCGAGCTGGAGCCCACAGCCCTGCTGTGAATCCAGGGCTAATGGCTCTTGGGAGGTGGCAGAGGAGGAAACACCAGTGGTGACATGATGGGAAAGTTAATGGAGGTGCCAGGCTGGGAGAGCCGTGGGCACTGCCGTGCGTGGGAATGCAGCCTTGTCCGGCCCAGCGCTGCCAGCCCACATGCCACCAGGCGCCGCTGAACAGGACAGGGACCTGCCCAGTCCCCCTGGCACTGTGGAGCGCCGGCCAGCCAAGGGCATGGTGCCATGGCAGATTGGGGACGGCAGGTCCTGGTTTGGAGGTGCCTGGCAGTGGGGACCTGGACTCCTGGGCTGTGCTCCCAGGGCTGTGGGCTGGCAGACGCGCTGCAGGGGCAGAGCAGGTCTGGCTTGCAGGGGCCCAGGCAGGCTGCAGCCATGGGAGCTGGGGGGAATCGGTGCTAGCAGCTGCCCTGCATCTCTGTGGCTGAGAGCTGCAGAGGGAGACCCCAGCTCCCGCCCCGCCAGCAAAGGTAGCAGAATGAAAGCAAGACCTGGGGACTCCAGCCATCGCTTAGCCAGCCGGTGCTGTGACTGACACGAGTGTGCCAGGTCTCAGCTGAGTCCCACCACAGATGGCCAAATCTCCTTCTATTTGGCACTAGCTGGGCTCCTGCCATCCTGCTAGGCGCCAAGAGGCAGGTGGGGCCGCCGGGATCAGGAGAAATGCCTCCAGCAGGATGCCTGGGTTCTGCAAGGAGAGAGCAGGCTGGAACAGAAGGCACGGCTGCCATCTCCCGGTCCCAGCTGGTAGGACAGGTGCCAGCCTCTGCCACGGGTGACCTCTGGCCATGGGGAGGACGTGGCCCAGTTTGGGGCATGGGACTGGGAATGCAGCCCTGTTGGCGAGCGGGACTGGCTCTGCGAGGTGGGGGGGAAGAGGGACCCGCCGGCTGAAAGGCAAGGAGGGAGGGCAAACCGGGCAGCAAGAGCTTGGAGCCCCCGACTTGGATTCGACTCCTTGGGGCACTTGTGATTTGATGTGGACGTCGCATGGGGCTGCCTAACTGGTCCCAGGTTGGCTGAGTGCTGCCCGTTAGTCTGGGTCCTGAGTTCAGGAGCTACCGTTGGAGGAGCCGCATGGGCAGAGCCGCCTGCTGGGGCGTCTAGGAGGCAAATGGGGAGGGGGCTGAAGCTGTCCTGGGTCAGTGCCACTGCGGCTAGGGCTGGCCTCTGCCCCAGCATGGCCTGAGCCCTGCCACTTCCACCCTCAAGCCTGCTGCCCCGCGCAGCCACCCACCGAGGGCATCCCCCAGCCCTGACCCAGCTCGCGTTCCCCCCTCAGGTGAGCCAGAGAGCCCAGACCAGCTCTGTTTGGTGAGTCAGAGAGACGGAGGGCTCATCAGCCCAGTCTGTGCCCGTGGCTTGTAACATAGGGCAGGCTCTGTAGTGCTGTCCTGGTCCCAGCCATGGCACAGGTTCATGCTCAGCTCCAGGCACAGGGACTGTGCAGGCAAGGTGCTTTTTAATCCCATCTGGGCCAGATTGAAGCCCCTGGTGCTGGGGGGACCATGGGGTGAAGAGCCCTTCGTGACACGGGTCCTGCCTGCTGCTCAGAGCCAGTCAGGAAGGTGCCAGTGCAGGGATGACGGGCACCCTGATGTGTGCCCAGGTGCAGGTGCCCACAGGTCAGGAGGGTTGCCCTCAGGCCTGATTTCCCAGCTGATCATGCAGCTGGCAGAGAAGCAGAGAGCACAGTCCCCTCCTCCTCTCCCTTCTGCAATTTCCCAACCTGGCCCGTCGCAAAAGAACCAGGAAGCTGCCAGCCCCCGCCCAGCCCCGCTGCTCTCCCTGCACCAGGATCCCCTGCCCGGGGCACTGCGCAGGAACGGCAGGACAGGACAGGACAGGTCTCGACCAACCACGCTGCTGGCACTGTTTGCAGGGTGAAGGGGTGCGGGCAGCGGGGGCAGCCCTGGGCACCAGCCTGCAAGGGTGCTGGGAGAACTGACACAGAGCCCAGCTCAGGGACGGCTCGTGGGAGAGACGTGCCGGAGCTGTGCTATGGGGCCAGCTTGGGGTGGCTCAGCGCTGAGCGAAGGTGGATGGGTGGTCTCTGCCCAGAGTAGGGCTGGCAGGACGGACAGGGCAGTTCTAGCAGGGGGCTATGGGTGGGGGCACTGGTAGGGCTGAGGGCATTGGCAGAGCTGCAAGGAGCCCAGCCTGTCCCAAAGTATCCCTGTCTCTTCCTCCCTGCAGCCTCCATTCCCCACCACGCTGCAGGATGACTTGCCTGGGCCTCACCCTGCTAGCCCCGCTCCTCCTGGCCCTGCCCCGCAGCTGGGGGCAGCCATGCCCACCTGTGCCCAAAAATGCCACGGAGTTCGTATGCACCGCGCCGGACCTCTACATCTTCCCCTCCGGCCTCCCCAATGGCATCCTAAGCATCTCGGTGGAGTTTACCAACCTCAGCACCATGGGCGAGGATGCGCTGCAGGGGCTGCCCCTGCTCCGGGAGCTCCATCTGTCCAGCAACCGGCTCCAGTGCCTCCCTGCCAGCCTCCTTTGGCCCGTGCCCGAGCTCCGCATCCTGGACCTCACTGGCAACCTGCTGGAGGGCCTGCCCCCTGAGATCTTCCATGCCAGCGGGCTCCTGCGGGACCTGGTGCTGCGGGGGAACAGGCTGAGGGGCTTGCAGCCCTCCTGGTTCCAGTCCCTGAGGGCACTGGAGTGGCTGGACGTCTCCGGCAACCAGCTCCGAAAGCTGCCCCCACATTGCTTCCTCCTGCTGCGCTCCCTGAAGAGCCTGGACCTGTCCCACAACTTCCTGAGCAACCTGCCCGCCGCAGCGCTGCAAGGCCTGGCCCAGCTGGAGCGGCTGGACCTGGAGGGCAACCGGCTGTGGGTCCTGGATGAGGAGATGTTCCAGCCCACCCGCGGCCTCCGCTACCTCTTCCTGCAGAACAACAAGCTGAGCGTGCTGCCGGACGCCACCCTGCTCCCGCTGGACCAGCTGGACACACTGGACCTGTCCCACAACGCCCTGCACACCCTGGACTTCTGCCTGCCCGAGCCCCGCGACACTCTCAGCCTGGACCTGTCCGGGAACCCCTGGGTGTGCGACTGCCACGCGGCCCGCTTCTTGCACTGGCTGCGGAGCCGGCCTGTGCACCTCTATGCTCGCAACAAGACCCTCTGCCTGGCCCCTCTGGAGCACCACAACCAGAGCCTGGCCACCCTGGCTGAGAGCGAGCTTGGGGTCTCCTGCCCACCCACCCCTGGGCCAGGGAAACAGGAGAGCCAGGAGCTGCCCCCAGACCAAGTGGGCAAGGCCTAGCTATGGGCTGTGCCAGCTTCCACCCCCATCCTGGCATCCCCAGGGCAGCCTTCCTTGTCCCCTTCCTCCTCCCCGCACGGGAGTCTCCCTGGGGTCTGGGCAAGAGCCCACCTGAGCAGTTCTGGGTCTGTCTCGCGCTATTCCCTGTTCACCCCCCTCTGAAAGGGTGATGGGTCCTTGCCCTGATGCCCCAGATGCCCAGGCCTCAGCCAAACCCCCCTGTGCCTGCCCCAGCCTCAAGCCTGCAGCCTCCCAGCAGACCTCAGCCCTCCGTCTCCAAGCCCACCTGCACCTCACCCCCAGCTCCTCAGACCAGCCCCCATTGGCAGCACCGAGGGGCTGTTCTTTGGGGCCGAGAAGCCACTTTAGCTCAGTTCTCACTGGTGAGAATTGAGCCCTGCCAGTGGCAAGCTGGCTCCAGGGCCTGTCCTTGAGCCAGGCCTCTCAATGCAAACATTGCAACATGCGTGTGGCTTCCTCATGGCCTGTTGCAAGCATGCCTTGCCCTCCCCCCAGCTTTCCTCTGCCAAAACAGCCTCCGAGGAGTGGGGGCTGATGGGTCCGGGCTGCACGATGCAAACGTGCCACCGAGCTGGTCCTTAATGGCACTGATCGAGAGCAAGTTCCTACTTGTCCTGGATTAGAGGTGTTGGCATGTACAGCGCCTGGCACACCAGGTTAGATGGGCACCTAATAGATGTCTAAGAGCTGCCCTTCTGACCCTGGAGGGGTGGGAGTGAGTGCCCGGCCCAGCCAGCCTTATAGTGGGCAAGCACTTTCACCTGTTTTGGGAGTCCTGGAGGGTGGGTGCCCAGTGACGGGGGGCATTTCCACTGCTCTGCTTTCCCTTCTCTCCTAAACGTGAGCTCAATAAACATCAGTGCACGCACTTGACTGAAGTCTGCAGCGTGCTTGACTTTGGGGGGAGATGTATGGGTGGGGAGGGAGGCACAGGGATGCCTGGAGGACCAACCGGACGTGTGTCGCAACACTCGTGTCCACACATTACACTGAACTGGCTCGAAAGAGTACTTGACTTGTCCAGGGATGCTTTTGGCCCGTTCCAGGCAGCTTGAAGTCAGTGCGAGGGGCTCGTATGTCTGTCCGCCCCTGGTTTAAACTGGGCTAAGTGTTACCTGTTTCATCTGCTCATCTGTTAACCCCGGAGCTTTGCCTTGTAGACACAAGGACAAGGGTTTGCAGGATTTCTGATGCTTCTCATACTGGGGCTAGGAGCATGGAGCCCGCGTCCTGGACCTATAGTTTCCCCTAGGGCCCCACCTTGGCCCCAGTGTCAGGGGGAGTCTGTGCTAGCAGGGTTTTGCATGGAGCAACGAAAGCTGAGCACGTCGGCCACTGTAGCCCCGGCAGTGGCTTCCTTTGTGTTTAATTGCAAATGAAACCCAGAGCATTTCACTTAATGCCGTACCTGTAAATTTATAGTAGAACCAGGTCCCCGGGAAGGCTTCAATTAAATGGAATTGCTTAAAGCTGCGGCCCAATTTATCCTGAGTTATCGCACCCATAAAGCCCGGCAGCAAATGCTGCTCTGGACCCGGGGAGGCTGGAGGCTACCGGCTGTGTGATGTTAATGATGGGGCGGCTGCTTTAATAGGAAACTGGGGAGTGTGGGGGAAGGACAGGGACTGGGGTGGTAGCTGGGGCTGGAGAAGTCCCACAAATGCCCATGGAAACCCTCTGGACTTCTAGCAAGCCCCTGGATAGTCCAAGGTGGAGCCTGCAGAGATGCATCTTGACAGGGGAGTCGCAGATGGAGAATCCAGTGCCTGCCTATATGAACCCAGCCTTCCCCTTGGACACAGCACAGCCTCCTAGCAGGGCTTCTGGTCTGGCCTCTTCCTGGGCTACGGGGTGACCCGGGCAAGTCGCTTCCCCTCTCTGTGCCTCAGTTTTCCCATCTGTAGCCCTCACCGTCTAGCTGGAAGGAGGTATCGAGTGGGCCCCAGAATGACCCGGATACACCGGAGAAACGTCCTTATTGAATTTCAACTGACTGATTTCAGACCAAGTGCAAAGTCCTGCACTTGGGACAGAGCGATCAGGGGTCGGGACACCGGCTGGGGAGTGACTGGCCAGGCTGCAGTGCTGCAGAGCAGTTGGGGGTTACTGCGGACTGAATGTGAGGCAACAGTGCACTCTTGTTGCAAAAGAAGTCAATCGCATTCGGGCTGCGCTAACAGGACCCTCTCTTGCAAATCAAGGGTCATAATTCTGCTCTATCGGTGCTGCTGAGGCCTCGCCTGCAGCCGTGTGTCCAGTTTTGGGCCCCACATTTTGCAAAGGATGGGGACAGACCGGAAAAAGCCCACTGGAGGGCAATGAAAATGAGAGGCCTGGGGAGCACAACTGGAGAGGAAAGGCTGACAGAGCTAGGGTGACTTAGTCTGGAGATGAGCAGACTGAGGGGGCTTTGATAAGCCTTCACTTCCCTGCAAGGTGATGACAGGCAGCACCTCAGCAACACACGGTCTATTTACAAGACAGTGGAGAGGGGGGAGGCTGCCCCCCACCCCAGAGATCCTCAGGTCAACAGCTCCTGCGCTGTTGTTTCTTGGGCCCCCAGTCGCTGGTCCGGGTCCTGCATGGGATGGAGAACAGGAGGGCCAGGCCCCGCTGCAGACACATCACTCTGCACAGCCCCGTGGCAGTCTGTCCTTCTGGGGGCGATGCTGGGGCCCAAGGGAGCCCAGGGAGTGGGCACGGGTGTACACAGCTAGCCTGCCCAAGACCCGGGGGGAACCTGGGCTGGCGCTGCATCCTCCTGGGAGCCCCTGCTGCACTCCATGCCCCCACCTGCAGCTGGGGGGAGTTACAGCCCTGGTGAGATGAACTGCCCGGGCACACAGCCTCTTCCCCTCTGCCCAGCTGGCATTGGCCTGTGCTGCAACCAGCCTGGAGGGGAGCTTGGGGGCAGCCCTGATGGTGCTGCCCCCCTTCCTTCCCTCCCTGCCCAGGCCACCTCCCACCCAACGGCTGCAGAGAAGGGGAGTACTGCTGCCTGCCTGCCTCCAGGTGCCCTGGGTATCTCCTGCAGATGGCTGTGGGCATCCCTGCTATGGGGCCCTGCAAGGCCAAGGTTGACTTTGGCCGTGGGATCCTGGACCTCAAGCAAGGGCAGAGCCCAGGGGGGCTCCCCAGCAGGGGGGCAGGGAGAGTTGGGCTGTACCTTGGTATGGTGCCCAGCGGGACGCTGCTGACCAGCCAGTCGCGCCCGTAGAGGACGGCGGGGCCGCTGTATTTGTTGTAGTATTGCTCCGGCTGCTCCGGCTGGAACTGCCGCTGCTCCCCCAAGGGCGGGACCAGGTGGGAGTCTCTCACCTGGTGCGGGGAAGACGGGCTTTCAGAACCAGGTGCAGGGGAGGAGAATGCCAGGGGCAGGCAAGGGGGCCTGCCCCTATCACTTGGCCCTTCTCAGGAGGAGCACTGGCTTGCAGAGGACAGCCCCCAGGAGCCAGCTCCTTCCCCTGCCTCTACCCAGCCCAGCCCACACCACACTCAGCTCCTTGGGACTGAATCCCCATGGTGGGAGGGACAGGGTGAGGGCCATGCCCCCGGCTCTGGCTCTGCTTTGGGACCCCGCACCCTCCAGACCCCTGTGGCATTGAGCTGCTCGCTGGAGACAAGCAGCTGCACGTGGGGCGATGGCGGGTAGAGCGTGGGGGGCAGCTCTGACCTCTCCACTCCACACATCTCCCCTCCCACATCAAGGGCTGGGTTGGGACCCACAAGCCCCCTTCCTGCCCCAGCACAGGGGCAGGAGAGTTCGTACAGCATGGCTCTCGCTGCCCACAGCCCCGCTCCACCATACCCGCTGCAGCGACTCCTCCGTGGGCCGCACCGTTGGCTGGCTGTGGGGGACGAAGGCGGCTTGGGTACTGGAGACGGGAAGGTTCCCTGCTCGTAGACGCGTGGGGAAGGGGGGAGAAGAGCATGTTAGAGCCAGAAACCTTGGGCCACTTTGCAGCTGGAGCCAGCCACATGGGGAGCAGAGACATGGGCAACGGGCTGTGACCCCTGCCCAGCGCAGCCCCTGTGCATGGGGACCATGCATGGCAGGGCAGCAATGTGGATGGGCCTCGGGGGCAGTGGGTCTCAGCCATGGAGGGGCTGCAAGGTGGGGATGTGGGTTCCTGCAGCTCCAGGCAGGGCTGTGCTGCCTCCCAAAGTGGCACAGGGCAAGAGCAGCGAGAGCTACTAGTGCCCAGAGGAGCGCAGCAGTGGAGCTGGGCATCTGGGCACCACACCGCGCTCGCACCACCTGACTGCTCCCCAGAGTTGGCCCTGGTGGCAGCACAATGCCCAGCCCATCCCGGGGAGGAGGGAGCTTGGCTTCTGCAGAGCAAGAGGAAACCCAGTGAGCAGCGGAGGCGAGGGATCAGGGGGCTGTGGGACTGCGCTGGCACTGAGTGCCACGACCTACCGGGTTGGTTCAATGGCAGGTGGCTCTTCAACTGGTCCTTGCCGTTACATGGCACCGCCCGGGCAGGTGGCCGTGGAGGAAACTCCTCCTGGTACAAGGTGCTGTAAAATGCCGAGCTCAGCTTGTCATCCCCAAAGGGCACAAAGCTCCAGCCTCTCCACTGGGGCGGAGCGGGGCGTGGGGGACGCTCGTCCTGGTCAAACTGGAGTGGAGGAGAGCAGCAGCTCATGCAGGGGCAGGTCTGTCTGCCCCCCACCCCATCCCATCCAGGCAGGGTGAGCTGCACCTCCCTGGCTCCCTGTGCCTTTGCACTGGCCCCAGAGAACTAGCTCTGTGCAGCAGATCCCAGGGCAAGCAGAGCGGTGCTGGGACGCTCTGGGGGGCTGCAGCCCAGATGGACAGTGGGCTGTGCCCCCCTGGCCCTCAGTGGCAAGGCCCCTTGCAACTGCGGGGCAGAGAGCAGACCTCTGTGTAGTAGGTCCGGTACGTCGTGGTGCTGGCCCGCTCCTGGCTCCTCTTGGGGTCCCGGTCACCGCGGGGGAATGACGACACCAGCTGGCTCTTGTACTCCCGGGATATGGGCACTGGGAAGGTGAGAAGCAAGTCCCATCATGGGCCCCTTGTTCTCTGGGGCTGTGGCAGGCCCCGCTTGGCCACACGCTCCCACTTGGGCCCACCCAGTCCTGGTCATTAGAAGGACTCTGTGGATGGCAGCTCCACCATGAACCTGGGTTGGGGGGTACAAAACAATCCCACCTTTCTCTTGCCCTGTCTCTGCTTGTTGCTTCGACTGGGAGCTCCTCAGGGCTCTTGCTGTGTGTACAGCCCCTAGCACACAGCTGGGGCGTCTGGGTTTCTGTTAGACCCCCTGAGGCTACGGCAATGCACGTGCTCCTCAGCAGGACACAGCTGCAATCACTGGGGTCCCTGTTCCGCCTGAGCCAATGCTGCTGCCAGGCTGGCAGAGCCCCCTGGCCAAAGGCTTGGCCCCTCTGGGAGCTGAGCCCTTCCTTGCTCTGTGCAAGAACAGCTGAGAGCCCCAGGCCTGGATCCGGCCCAGCACACTCCCTACCATTTAATCACAGAGAAGAAACAGTTCTTGAGCCCCCTGCACTGGGGCGTCTGGGGAGAACAGGGCCCAGGATGGCCAGAGCTGAATGGGGCTGGGGTTTGCCAAAGCCCTCCTAGTTCTGCCAGGCCGGGACAGGGAGCAGGGTGGTTCGGTACCTAGCTCTCGCAGGGGGAACGACGCTGCGGTGGTGGTCGCAAATCGTCTGCGGTCATCCCCTGCCTGCATGGTGGTCTTGTGGATCGTTTCCACTGCCTGGTCCTTGTCATAGATGCTGCAAGGCACAAATGTGATGTCTGAGAGAGGGCAGCTGGCTGGGAGGGACGTGCCCCATGGTAGGAAAGGGCACTGGGTACCTGTAGCTCCCTGCGGCTGGGGCGGTGTAGGCGTCATGCTGCTCTGTGTTATTCCCAGTGATCCTGGGGCTGCCAAGCACCACGGCTGATTTAATCTGGAGGGAACCCATTGCAGTTTGATGCTGGCTGGTGCAGGCCAGGCCTTGCCCCCATTACAGCCAAGCTCCCATTGCCCCCAGCTCTGCTCCCAGGGCCCCAGTTCCACACAGATTATTCCCACCTCCTGCAAAGCAGGTGATGCTGCAGGCTAGGCCAGGGCACAGACAGAGCCGTGTCCCCTGGAGGTGTGGGCATGGATCTCTGGACCCAGAGATGGGGTAAGTCCTGGTTGGCAAAGCCCAGACGTGCCCCAGCTCCTTGCACTTCCAGCCCCTGCCTGCGGCTTTGCTCGGTAGCAGAGCTGCCCTGCCAGGCTCAGGGGGTCTTTGCCACTGAGAGAGACCATGAGCTCAGCACGGTTTCAACCAGGGCTGGGCATCACCACCGGCCATCAGAACAGCTAGAGGCATGGCAGGCTGGAGAGGACACACAAAAGCAACTTCTCCTGCTTTAAGGCCTGAGCCAGCCACTGTCCCAGGGAATTAGGGGCAAAGTGCCCCTGGGGCAGCTTCAGCCTTGCAGAGCTTTGTGCCCATCCCTCTACAGGAGCTGGCCAGAGCCTGGAGTCGGAGCTGGATCCCAAACACTCCTGGGCTCCCGGCCCCCCCGAGTGAATCTGGAGACTCACTCCCTAACCGTAACCGGATCAGGCCTCAACCTGGGAGCTGTCTCAGTTCCCAGCAGAGCATATGTGAGGTGCCATGAGGCTGAGCTCACCGAATTGTGCCGTTACCTTCTCACAGGGCTGCACAGGGGGGACCCATTCCCCCTGGAAGTCTGCATGGTGTGTGGTTTGGTAGTGGGAGCGCCCATCCCCTGTGATCGGGGAATGTCCTCCTGTAGGGGAAGGAGCCGGGAGTCAGGCCAGGATGTTCTCAGACTTGGCCCCTTCAGCTGCGAGGACCCTGCTGCTGAGACCCCCTGTGCCCCAAAGGGAGGTGCTTCACACACCCCACACGCCTCCTCTACCAGCTCATTGCTCTCCTGCCTGGTGGCTGGTGGGAAAAGATCAAAAGCTCCGAACAACCAAGGACGTCCTCCAGAGCAGGCTGCCCTGAGAGTGACTCTGGGTGTGGGCATGCAGCAGAGGTCCAAGTCCAGCCAAGCAGCCCAGCTTGTGCTTTGGGAGCAAGGGGACATATGGCTCTAACAGCTCTGCCCCTTCTGGACGTGGCAATGAGTGCCCTCCCTGGCCTTAAAGCTCTGGAGATCAGAGGCCACATTCTGCCGTAGGTGACTGGTGACATGAGTGCACATGTGCCCCATGGGCCTGGGCATCCATGACACCAACGCACCACCACACCCAGCAGCAGGAGAAGACCCAGAATAAGGCAAGCAGCAGACGCAGCGAGGCCAAGCGCAGGGCAGCAGCAGTGCTGCAGGCTGGGGGCCAGCAGGGTCCAGGGCATAGCTGTGGATGGAAAGCTCGGATCATACATGGCCTTCCTGGGTCCACACCCTGCAGACCCACTGGAATGGAGCAAAGGGAGGAATGCGGATAGACAAGTATCGCTAGATCCTGAACGCCGTCTCTGTGATAACATGGCACTAGTTGCTGCAGCAAAACCCAGCCTGAACTATCACAGCAGCATCCCCTTGGCCAAGGCAATGAAACCACGCTGGACCCCCAAGTGCCCCCAGGTCCCCAAGAACACTGAGATTGCAGCCACGCAGAGCCGCGGCCTGGAAGACAACTCACCCAGGTGCACGCATGGGGCTCTCGCAACTGGCTGCATCCCATGGTCTACGTAGGAGGAGCAGGACAGCGAAGGCTGCCGAGGGAATTGTCTCTCATTCTCACAGAACAGGTTGCGGTTCCACTGCTCATTCTGCGGTTTGTGGGTGAGCGGCCTCCGCCCCGCTACCTCCAGCCCGGGATAGCTATCCCGGGCCGTGGAGGTGATGATGCTGATCCTGGGATCAGTGTGCATGAGCGCGTGCATTTGTGGCCGGATCATTTTGATCTTGGGCTGGTGGGGTCTCTCGGAGAAGGCCACCTGCGTCTCTGTCCCCGTTTCCTTCGGTGTGAAGAAGTCCTTGTGTATAACCCCTTTGGAGAGGGGGAGCGGAATAGACTCTCGCTGGAAATTCCCCCAGTACGGGGGGTAATCAACCTTGTACACGGACTGATCCACCCGTCCAGGTGGCCAGCGGTCAAAGGATGTCCTAAAATGGGAAGCCTTTTGGAAGTCAGCCCCCGTGATGCTGGGGGCTGGCACGAGGTTTTTGACAGGGGCTGCCATCGCGCCCTGTGGGCAAGATGCAGCACAAGAAACACCACAGCTCGAAGACTTAGCCTGACCAAGCTGTCTGATGCAGTAGGTCAACTGGCCAGGCTGGGATATACCCGAGGGGCCCTGATGTCACAATAGAGCCCTGGCAACGGGGGAAACATGCCGCGGTTTCAAGACAGGACGCCAGGAAGAGGAGAGCAGGGTGGGGAGGGCAGGAGAAAGGGGTGCACAGGTGACAGGTGCCATCAATGGTGACTCAGTGATTTCGTGCATCTCCCTTTGGGCACCCCCGTGCTCCTGCCAAGCTGCTTGGCTGAGTCGGTCGTGGGATCGTGGGCACAGGGTTTGCACGCTCCACGGGTCCAGTGGTATGGGCCATGTGTCGGGGAAAAATTTAAGTCCCCAGGTTCGTTGGGCGGAGGCTCAGACGAACCACAATATAAGTTTAAAGACTCGATTTATTAAAGAATGCATTCTGAACAGACAACTGCCCCGCAGGGAGATTGCCTGTTGCACTTTTTGAATTACACAAAGCATTATATGGGAAACATGACGATATTATTACAGCAACAGCTTTACCAATCAACAATTGCCACTTGCTGCTAATTTAAATTTCCCTTACTGAGAACCTTAGAGCTGATAAAAGCCAGTTTATTTTAGTTTTGTGCTAGCCTTATTGTTAAAAGTTATGTCCTTTACCTTCTGATAGCTTATGCAGCATACGTGATCTGCTTGCTTACACATAGTTTCAGAGTTTCATAGTTTTAGGGTCGGAAGGGACCTAATAGATCTTCTAGCCCGCCCCCCCGCCAGGGCGGGAGAACAACAAAAGAACCCTAAACAAAAAACGGGACTCAAATGAGTCCAGCCAGGTAGGTATCCAGCCTCTTCTTAAAGACCCCCAGGGTAGGGCCCAGCACCACCTCCCTTGGAAGTTGGTTCCAGCTCCTAGCCGCCCTAACTGTGAAGTAGTTTTTTCGGATGTCCAATCTGTACCTCCTCTCCATCAACTTGTGCCCATTACTCCTTGTTATGCCAGCGGGGGCTAGGGGAAACAACGTCTCCCCCAAACCCTTCTGGTTCCCCCTAGTGAGTTTATAGACGGTCACCAGGTCCCCCCTCAGCCTTCTCTTGTGGAGGCTGAATAGGTTCAAGTCCCGCAGTCTCTCACTGTAGGGTCTGCCCTGTTGTCCCCGGATCATGCGGGTGGCCCTCCTCTGGACCCTCTCCATGTTGTCCACATCCCTCCTGAAATGGGGCGCACAGAACTGGACACAATACTCCAGCTGCGGCCTGACCAGCGTCGCATAGAGGGGGAGGATCACCTCCCTGGCTCTACTCGAGATGCACCTGTGGATGCACGACAAGGTCCGGTTAGCCCTGCCAACCATGACCTCGCATTGTCGGCCCATGTTCATCTTGGAGTCAATAATGACACCAAGATCCCTTTCCGCCTCCGTGCTCTCAAGTAGGGAGTTCCCCATCGTATAAGTGTGCTGCTGGTTCCTACTACCCAAGTGCAGCACCCTGCACTTGTCCGTATTGAAACACATCCTGTTCCTGTTTGCCCACCCCTGTAACCTATCCAGATCCTTCTGCAATCTCTCTCTCCCTGCTAGCGTGCTCACCTCCCCCCAAATTTTGGTGTCATCAGCGAATTTAAACAGGTTGCTTTCACCCCAACATCAAGATCGCTGATGAAGAAATTGAACAGCGCAGGCCCCAGGACCGAGCCCTGGGGGACTCCACTACCCACCTCCCCCCAAGTCGAGTATGATCCATCCACCACCACCCTCTGAGTGTGACCCTTCAGCCAATCTGCAATCCATCTGACCGTGTAGGCATCTATGCCACAGTCGCCTAGTTTATTAATTAGGATGGGGTGAGAGACGGTGTCAAAGGCCTTGCTGAAGTCCAGAAAGACTACATCCACCGCGACACCTGCGTCCATGGCCTTTGTGACCTGATCATAAAAGGCAATCAGGTTGGTCTGACATGATCTCCCCCTAATAAATCCATGCTGATTGCCCCTGAGCATCATTTCCGATGCCGGCCCATCACATAATGGCGATGAAAGTTTTTATTGTTTTTATTATTCTCCTTCACATGGAGGCTGTGACCAACCTGGGGCGCACACCCTCTGCCCCCAGCACCACCCTGTCCAGCCCCAGGGCAACCCCAGGCACAAGCTCCCTCTGCCCCTGCGGCATGTCCCGGCACTGGGGCACAGCCCATGTAGCGTCTCAGGCTGACGCTTGCACTGCAGCCTCCAGGACTGCCGTGCTGCAGACAGCGCAGTCCTTCCCTGGCCAGATGTCCTGGGCACTGGACCCGGGACCCGCCACAGGGCTCCAGGCTGAGGCCACCTCACAGAGGGAACCTCCAGCTGTGCCCAGAGAAGTGCCCGGTGCATTTGAATTTATGCGCGGCCTCGGCCCTATTGCACTGGGTGCAGTCCCAGCTACTGGAAGCATCCAGTCCTCGCCCATGGGATCTCCCAGTTGAAGAGGTCTCTCTGCACAGTGGGGCACATTGCTTCCCTGGTGTTCCTGCCCTGCGAGGCTCTGGCTGCTGGGGGTCCTCCTTGCAGACAGAGCCCACCCATCTCAGCTAGAGATGCCCGGGAGGGGGCTGTGGCTCCATGTTCCTTGCTGGGGTGGAGCAGGAAGCCCTGTGTGGCCTGGAGCTACTGGGTGGCATGTGGCTGGCTTGCAGGTGCCCATTTGCATCCCTCCATCTCCCCTTGCCATCCAAACCTCCCCCAAGGAGCTCAGGGCTGCACTTCATGGCCTGGCATGCTGGGATCCCAGAGAGAAGGCGGCTGTTGTACCCAGCACAGGGGGCAATTTATGCCCCTTCCCCACTGTGGTGGAAGCAGAGGCCTCACCCCCGCAGCCCATGCACTTGTGCCTGCTTTACACCAAGGCTGTGCTTGGCTTATCAGGTCAGCCCCAGGGCTGGTCTGATCCAGGTAGGCGGCAGGGCGGATACTGCACCAATCCTGCCGGGATCTACTCCTGATGGGAGTGAAGGGGACTCAGCCCCTGCTCAGTCTCCTTCCAGAAGACACTGGGTGTCTACACGCAGCAGTTGAAATGCAACAGGCGCAGGGAGTTGCCATGGCAACTTTGCCCTGACTAACAGAGGGAACATCCGGACAGTCACTGGGTGCTGGGCCATGATGTCACCTCCTCAGCTCGGAGGGGGCTTTCCCCACGGCCTGTGGTTCCTGGAAAAGGGGCTGGTCCAGCTGGGGACTGAGTCACACGGCCTTGATCTGTCCTGGGCGGCCCTGGGGCCAGCGTGGTCGAGGGGTGTCTGCAGAGCTCGCAGGTCCCGAACCCCCAGCCTGGGAGCAGAGGGGGGCAGGATCCATTGCTCCATCTCACCCCACCTGGCCCTGCCCAGGCTCCGCACTGGGGCCACAGGCCCAGCCTTGGCTTCCTGCGGGAGCAGGCTCCCCCACTTACTTGCAGAGGTGCTGAGCACCCCTGCACCCCATCTCTGCCCAGCACAAGGGTCTCAGCCTGACCATCGGGTCCTTCCAGTCCTGCGGCTCGGTGGGGCCAGGACCCCAACACGGGGCAGCTCATCCTTCACATCCCACCAGCGCTAAGGGGTGCCCCCTCCACCGCCACCTGGCACAGCCGCCCCCTCCCCTCTGCCTCTCCGTGGGCCAGGAAGAGGGCAGAGCCCTCTGCCACCCGCATCCCTGGCACCCTCCCACGTGCAGGGAGGGAAGCGCTCCCCCATCCCGCATGGGGATGCCCAGCGGCTCCGTGCCCGCAGGGCGCAATCCCGCCCTGCGCCCGGGGCTGCCCCTGGCTGGTGGGGAGGGGGGCACCGCCCCGCACGCGCTCTCACACACGTGCGCACCCCACTCACTTCCGCCCCGCCCGCCCCGCGTTCCATCGCTCCTGATTGGCGGAGGCCAGCCCCCAGCTCCTCTTGATTGGCTCCTGCTGCCTGCCTGCTCCCTCCCCTCCCCCCCGCGCCTATATCAGCTGAGCGGCGGGGCGGGGCGGGCTGTGCCGGGAGGTGGCTGCAGCGAGTCGCGGGTTCGAGACCTTCAGCTTTCTCCTCGCGTGAGTCACGTGCCCCGGGTCGGATACAGCATGTCGCGGCTTGGAAACAAAGTTGCTCCGTCGGGGCGGATCGGGGGGCGGGCAACCAGAGCGTCCCTGGTGGCCTGGGCATGCCGGGGGGGGGGCCCCGCGGGTGCGAAGAGCTCGGAAACTTGCTGGGAAGTTTTTCCGGGGCGCGGGAGGGGGCTCCCGGGGGGCGGGATGGAGCTGGATCGGGGGGAAGGGGGGCTCCTGCTTGGGAGAGACCCCCCCCCAGGCTCCA